TTAAATGTCTATTTTTCAGTTTGAGGTTAGTAAAAACAAAATCATGAAACAAAATGTCTCTTACTTTAATGGGAATGCTTGGAATGCTCTAACATGATCTTTAACAAAAACTATCAACAGTACCAAAAAAAAAAAAATCTAGCTTTATCGGTTGACCCTGTTACAGATAATGACGATACTAATGTTGATCTTTTTTTTGAAGAATTTGACGAAGAATTTTTACAAATTAGTATTGAGGCGATAGATTTTCCTACGAATAATGATTTAGTATTGGAAGGTTTTTTTGATATCAGACCTGAAAACCAAAATACAAATGAAGAAAGCTTACCTGTTTTTTCACAAGAATCTCCCGGTACTGACAAAAATTGGTCAGTTGACAACATATTTCAATTATGCAGTTAATTCTGTAATTAAACAATACTGTAAAAATCGATTTTTTGAATCAAAAAAAAAAATCGATTTTTGAACCTATTTAAGTTGACCATTGCATATTGTGTTACCGCTATAATTATGGTTATGTAGATCTTTATTAAATTTCTATTTTCTATAAGTTTATACATACGTATGTACGTACATACTCTCACTATTGAGTATACTTTCATTAAATAGAGGTCAAATACTTTTATTAAATAACTGGTTGAATAATGACGGACTTAATCTATTAGCATATTATTATCCTTATCGTTATTTTATATGATTACATAAATAAAATTTAACAGCTTTGTTATAATAAATGGAGACGTTAAACGTTAAATTTTAAGTTGGTTTAAACCTTTTTAAGTCAATTTCAAGCTTCAATAACCACATTATACTTGAATAGAGCTGTTTTCAATTTATACAAATTTGTATACATACATATATTGAATTGTATTAAACCAATAATGTTTATCTTATTATATAATATTTGACTTAAGTCCGAGTTTGAAACTAACTTGATTTCAAAAGTCAAGTAAGTTAGGGCCAAATGTTTAACATTCCTACAGTGCACGACACTTAAAGACTACATTTGTCCCATTTTCAAAAATTTCATATTAAAATTTGATGCCTTTGTGATTTCTTGTGTTCTGATTGGCCAAAAATTAATTAATAAAAAATATTTTAAAAATAATTT